GATTCTCTCTCTCCCTCTCTTTCTCTGCCCCTCCCCTGCTCACAATGTCTCTGTCTCTCTCAAAATAAATCAACTTGAAAAAAATAAATAAAAATTCTAATGGACAAAAGTTTAGACAAACAGGGAGAATCACGACATGGAGGCAGTGAAGAAGAGGGGCAGTGGTGCTGCTGGAGCCATGGCCTCAGGATGGCCTCACACTCCTGGCTCCCTCTAGGAAAGAAGGTCTGCAGCCTTGCTCTCCACCAGTCTATGCTATGGCAGGTGGCCCTATCTCCCTCCTGGCACAGAGGAGAGAGCCCTGAGGGACCATGGTCACATACAAATTTTTGTGGGACTTGAACTGGGGAGGAAAGTAGGGGCTCGCAGTGGCATTACAAGAGCTGGAAAATCCCCTGGGGTCCCTAAAAGTGACCTGTAGACAAAGGTGCTCTGCCCCTCTGGTTTCAGAGTCTTCCAAGGGTGCCATTGAGGCATACCACTTAGCAGACTTGGATTTGGACAAAGCTCCCAGTCCTGGCAGGAGCTTTAAACAGCAGCAACAACAGGGAAGTGGTGCTCTGAACAGGACTTACCTTGATTCACTGAAAAGTACAAGGAGGTATTGATTGCTCTTCATTTGCAGACAAGAGAGCACCATTATTTGCCCAGACACTCAGGGCTCAGAAATCAGACCAAATCCGGACCCCGTCTGTAGTGAGATTACCAGCACTCAGTCTGCCCTCCTGCCCTCTCACCCCAGTCCCAGGCTGTCCCATCTGACCAGCTTACAGGCCAAAGCCAGCTCATGGCACCCACCTGGGCTCCCAGCTCCTGGCAGGGCTGGGCAGAGTCAGCATGTGCTCAATCCAAATCCCCTGAGACACTTTGGCTCTGTCTCCATCCACACTGGCAAAGAAGGCAGCTGTGAGTGGGGCTGGGGGCTGTAGAGCCTCCTTCCCCAGCAGAGGACAGAGGACATAGCTGGCAGGCTGAACTTGGACAATTTACAATAGAGCTATTAACAAGCCCAAGAATGGCAGGGCTAGCACTCTGGTGGTAGGCCCTCTCAAACCCTATGGCTAGTACTTTTTCCTAGGATGCTGTGGCCACAAGTGGGATAAGATGACACAGATAACATTAAAAAGACAAGAGTGATGTACTCTCTCCCTGGAGGTCAGGCTGTTTTGCTCCTTTTAGCCCTAGGACATCCAGCCAAAAAGCTCTTATTGATTTCTGTGCCCTGTCTTGACACTGAGCACATGGGGACACTGATCCTGAGGCTTTGCAAGGAGATGACCTAGCAGAGGTTCCACAGTAACAGTGGCAGGCAAGCCTGGAAGCCACCAGCCCCAGACAGAGATGAGTAATTGATTACCTGCTCGAGCCAGGAGAGGATCTTCCTAGAGCAGGTGGGTCCTGGCTCTTCTCAGAAGGCCTGTCCTCATCCACCACCTCAACCCTTTAGGCAAGACGAGAAACAGATGCACCACTTGTCCCCAGGGCACCTGTGGCCTGCTCAGCCGCCCTACAGCTTGCTGTTCCTAAAGGACATGATTTCCTTCTGTGCTGTCTATGGCCATGAGGTGGCCCAGCCTGGAGGCTCAGCAACTCCAGTTTGGGATAAAGGACAGCATATCAGGTTGAATAGTATCCCTTCAAAATCCATGTCTGCCTGGAACTTGTGAGTGTGACCTTATTTGGAAATAAGGTCTTCGCAGATATAGTCAACATAAGATCGGGTGACGCTGGAACAGGGTGAGCTCTAAATCCAATGACCAGTGTCCTTATAAGAAGAGGGAAATTTGGACACAGACACACAGGCAAAAGGTCATAGGACAATAGAGGCAGAGACTGGAGTGATGTGTCTACAAGCCAAGGATTGTCAAGGGTTGCCTGCTGCCACCAGAAGCTGGGAGAGAAGCCAGAGACAGTTTCTCTTTCACAGCCTCCAAAAGGAACCAATCCCGCTGACACCTGGATCTTGGACTTAAAGCCTCCAGAACAGGAGACAGTACATTTCTCGGGTCTTTGCCACCCAGTTTGTGGTACTTTCTTATACCAGCCCTGGCAACCTAATACAGCCAGTAAAAGCACATCATTATCTGTCACTTCCTTTATGCTGCCATCACCCTTTCCTGACTGTATTCCAGTCTTCAGCTCACTATGCAACCTTGTCATGGATGCTTTCCTTGTTTACCTCATGGAATGTCCCTAAAATTCAACTTTCTGGAAGTCTCTTCCCTATACTCCCCAAATATTCTCTCCCAGAAGATATTCTGTCTCAACTGATGGGGACACTCCTCTCTCACTCAACTGGAGTGTCCTAATGTCCTGATAATTTCGTATTGAATTCTGTTCACCCTTTAGGGCCCATCTCCAATGTTATGGTCACTTCCAAGGGCCTGGCCAGGCAGAGGCTCCCAATGATAAGCCTCTGGACCCCAGCCCAGTAATCCCTCCTGCTGAGGCATTGTCCAGCCTGTCTCTGGTAGAGTGGGAGGGAGGGCAGGGGAACAACTCCTTTTTAGCCTGGTAGCTACTTTTGCTTCAAACCCCAGAAGCCCTTGGAAACACTAAGGCTCTATTGGGGATCAGGGGCCTAGCCCTGTTAGCAAATGGAAGTTTCCAGCCACAAGCTACGTTCTGTCAGCCAGATCTTGCCTACACAGAACTGCCTGCTGAGGCCACAAGTGCCACCATACCCACCTACTTGCTCATCTGGCCTCCAGACAAAAGCCACTTGGCCCTCACAACTTCCCTTGCTCAGGGCCAGAGGCCCCTTCCCACTCTGCACCTGCTTTCCATGGTGATCACACTCCACCTCTGCTGGCAGGAGGCCTTCTCTGCAGCCAGCAAGAGGCTTGCAAAGATTCCCTTGCTGACATTTACCTCTTTGCAATGAACGGAGCCTGCATCTCCTGGGCAGGGCTGCTGCAAAGGAAGCAGAAAGGCAATGTGTTGGACAGAACTCATGGACAAGTGACATCATGAGCACTTTGCTTTATAGGGTCCTGGGCCTCTCTCTCACTCCCAGTACCTCATTAGCCCTGATGGCTGGAGCCAGACCTCTCAGTTTTCCAGAAAGAGCATCTGAGAATCCTGGAAGGTCTAGCCAGGAGGAAAGGAGGGGAGCCAGTTGGTAGCTGAGCTGGCCCAGAAGCCAGGCCCTGCTGTGTCTCCTGTCATGTAACTCACCTGGTGCTCTTCTTGGCTGCTGACAGAACGTAGGAGTGCTCCCGGGAGGCTGTCTTCCTCACCACACTGCTTGCAGCCTCTGACCTGCAGTGGCACAGAGAGAAAGTATCTAATGGCATAAGGCAGGACTCACTCTGCCAGCATAGCCCAGCAGCTACCCAGGATGGCTCAGGGCCATCCCAGGGAGGCAAGTGCACAAAGCCAAATTAGCGCCTGCTCCCAGAACTATTCAAAGGAAACAGAGACCATGCAGCCCACATTTATCAAGCATAGACTGTGGGCCTGGCCCTGTGCTGCATGCTGCAAATCCATACTGGCTCATTGAGTCCTTACAACTTAGGAAAGTAGGTGCCAGTATCACCCACAATTTACAGATGAAGAAACTGAGGGATGGGAAACTTTAGTGACTTGTGTGAGACCACACACTTAGCTGATGGCAAAGTGGGCAGTCAATGCTCAGCAGCCTGGCTCCTGAACTTCTGGCTCTTCCCTTGTACCTCCCAGGCCCAGGGACCACTGTCACTGCAGACTCTGGCCTTAGGATTGTCCATCTGCCAGACCTTCAGCACAGGAGCTTTGCTGTGTCTCTTAAGGTGCAGAGGGCCCAACAGACACTGGCAGTGGGGGCAGGCTCAGCCTGGGGGGGGGGCAGTTATTTCCTCAGAGCCTAGCTGCTGCCCAAGTACCTGAGCCTCATTTTGAGGTGAGGGGCACTGGCACTTCCAGAGTGTAGCTCTGCCACCCAGCCATGCAGGCCCTGCCCAGCATAAAGCATACACAGCCTCCACACAGCACACACGGCATACACACAGAGGGCTCCTCCTAGGAGGATGGCCGATTTTGGTTCAATTTGCTCAGGACCCTTTTTAGCAAATTGATATAAAGTCCTGAAGCACCTCCCTCTGTACACTCTGTCCACCCAGGGGAGGCTTCCCCCAGCCCTCATTACCTAGGTTCTGCTCCATGAAAGTTTCAACGTTTTTATTTTTATTTTTGGGACAGAGAGAGACAGGGCATGAACGGGGGAGGGGCAGAGAGAGAGGGAGACACAGAATCGGAAACAGGCTCCAGGCTCCGAGCCATCAGCCCAGAGCCCGACGCGGGGCTCGAACTCACGGACCGCGAGATCGTGACCTGGCTGAAGTCGGACGCTTAACCGACTGCGCCACCCAGGCGCCCCTCCATGAAAGTTTCATAAAGGGTCCCCTGAGCTGGCCCAACACTGAGTGGGTGGTTCTGGGATTCAATGAATGACACCTGTTGCTGGAAGCCACTCCTCCAGCAAACAAGCCAGCACTGATATTGTACATGTTGTGCATTTTGTCACTGCAACTGGCACCATTCCTATATTACTGGTCCACAGAAACTTGGGCCCCTGCCCTGACTGTGGGATGCTCAGCGGGCACCATTACCTCCGTTTCTGCTCATCAGATGAGAAGAGAACCTCCTCCTCTTCAGCATCCCCTGATGCTGAGCTGCGTCTGACATTGTAGGGTGCCCTGGGGGAGGGGAGAGGGTGTGAGGATGCTGTTGGTTGTGGCCCCTCCTCCCCCATCTCTGCCCCTGTTCCCTGTCACAGGCTGCCACCCTCAGCAGTTTGGCTTCCTGACTTACAACAGTAATAGCACATGTTGGCATTGCTGCCTCTGAGTCTTTGCTCATGTCACTTCTTCCTCCTCAAGAGCCAGCTCTCTCCTCTCTCCTTATTCCAACCCTAACTGTCCTCCAAGACCCAGTTCAAGCCTCTCCCCTTCTCCAGAAAGATTTCCTACCTGGTCCATGTCACTGGATGGTTGTGACAAGGGAAATAAAGCAATATAAAGATGTGGGGCCCTTGGGAACTGCAGATTCAACCCACACTTCTGTCCAGAAACCCCCTCCTTGGCCACATAGTGGGGGGCGTATTTGATAGGGGCCAGAAGGGGAGCCCCAAAGATTTATATCCAAGAAGCAGTTCAGATTTCAGCACAAAATGCCAATTACTTGGCTGCCAGGGCTATCATCATGCTCAGGATCATCAGGCCCCAGCGCGGCCCGGCCTACACCCCAGAGGGGTGCAGAGGCATGTCCAGGAAACAGAGTCAGCCAACATCAGCCCCAGAGATATGACCCATGACCCTTCCTCCAGACTCACCGGCCCCTTCTATAAGCTTCTTAGAGCCCCTGCTTCGCCACAGATCAGAAGAGCAATGTGCTCCAGGTCATAGTGGCAACTGGTAGGAATGTCAGGCCTGCTGTTTGGGCTTGTCCTTGAAGGAGGGAACTGAACTGGGTCTGCCATTGCATACTTACAGCTTCTTGTAATCCTCAGTGGTCATCTTATAGCCGGAGGAGGAGGGCCGAGGAAGCCCACTGGGAGCTGCTCTCAGCAGACCAGCAGCACTGGAGAGGAAAGGAGTTTCCATGTGCCCACTCCCAAGCCCCCTCTTGCTTCTAAATTTGTCTACATGCCCCAGTAGGAATGTGGCTGGTGGCCTTTCTTCTTTTCTTTCAGCCCTGCCACACACCCATCCCATCTGTGCCACCCTGAGCAGGGCAGCCCTCCTGCCATAGGTTGACCCAGGCCCCTTGACCCTGCCTTTATGATGGAGCCCAGGTTCAACCTGACACCAAGGCGCTTTGATGACATGCCACTTCAGCCTTCTGGGAAGAAGGTAAAGTAAAGCACACAGCTGCTGGGAAACAGGACTGCCCAATCTGGGTCATACATCCACCTGGGGCTTTGTGTCCCAGCACTACTCTCCAGGGCCCTGCCCTACACAGGAGAGCTACCATCCACCACCCCTCCCCACCCGTGACAGATAGAGTAATCTCTCTGCCATAAGCCTGACCTAGGCCCTCATGCCTGGTGCTTGGCCTAGGCCCTCACCCCAAGGACACACACCTTTTTGGATCTCCATTGGCCTTGGGGAACTGCCGCTGTGGCTGACACGAGCTGTCTATGGGCTTGGTGAACACTCCCCTATAAGAAAGCCCAGAAGAAGTAGCCCTGTGAGCTCCCCTGTGAGAATCCAGGGAGCAGTGGTGTGCAGGCATGTGGAGGCAGGCAGGGTCCTATGGTTACCTACCGGATGATATAGCCAGTGGGAGCCCTTGTGCTAGGAGGCCTGCCGAGGGAAAAGAAGGTATGAGGTGAAGCAAAGACGCCCTATTTCCCCTGCACCCAATGCCAGCAAAGTGGATTGGCTGGTGGGTGCCCCAGTGTGGTCAGAATGAGGGGAACAAGAGTGGCTGGCCATTTCTCAAGAGAGCCAGCTACCCCTTCACCCAAAGCCAGGCTTCCTATTCTGCTCCCTCATGCTCCCCAGGAAAAGTACTGGGACCAGCCCAGGATGACCCTGGATCACAGTAAGTGCCCAGGAAGATGTGTTCCATGGCTAAACATTTGCCGCAGAGGGGTCTCCTCCAAACTCAAGTTTTTCTCTCACCTTCCAGGCCCCAGCACTCCCCTGAACAAGAAGTCTTCTGGGATTGATGACAGCGCTCCCATTCTCTACTCTCACAACTGGAGGCTGCATGGTCAGAGGCCTGGGGTTGAGGCATGGCAGGGAGAGCCCAGGGTCCCGGACCTAACCACACAGCCTCCTTTGGGAAGGCTCATGAGGGACCAAGGGGTAGAACCAAAGGCAGCTTCCCCACCCTTCCTGCTCCTTTGGGGCCTCTCTCCTCCAGCTCCTGAGATGCCCACATCACAGACTTGATGAAAGTTTGGGACTGGAGGGCATGGCTGGAAAACAGACTGCACATGCTGGGTGTCTCCTGCTTGGGAGCAACTGAGCGGGTTCAGAGGGCCAGTAGTGGTAGGCAGCAAAGAGCTGTGAGTTTGGGGTGCAGGGGCAGGAGACAAGGATTCAGCAGATGGCCTTTCTTTCTAGGAAGACAGTAGCTTAAGGGCTGGAGAACAGGGGAAGTTGGTCTAAGGGAACCCCACACAAGCAGGTGAGAAGGGCAGCACAGAGCCACAGTGTTCTCCATCATGGCAGACCCTGTCCTTAATAGAGACAGCAGCCTGCAGGTGACAAATTTGCAAGCACACTTGGGGTGGGGCCTGAGAAAGAAAGGCCATTTCCCCCCATCTAGCCACACAAACATTTTTGGCTTGGGGAGGCTAGACCATGATCACTGGCTGTCCCTTGGATCCACTTCTTTCCCCAAGAGAAAAGGAGAGCCGAAGTTTATGTAGACTTCCAGGTATCCCTGCTCTAGGCCCTGAGTCACAGTGCCCTGGGATGTGCTTTCTAAACATAGCCCCAAACAGAAGCCCAGGGTGAGAACCATACCACCCAAAGTAAACTAGCCCCCTAGTGAGTAGACTGTCTTTAAACAGTCCCCAGGCCTTCACCAACTTTGCCAACTGCAATAATCACAATCCATAATTCTCTCTTTTATGTTCACCTCTCTATTTGGTTCATGCCTGTGTTCCCTGCTAAGATGTTAGTTCCCCAAGGAGAGAGCACAGGACCTGGCTGGCACTGGATGCCGAGTCAGGGAGGGGTGGTGATGGGCAAGTCCATAGTTGTTAGAGGCAGCCCCAGAGACTTAGCAGTGAACTTGGATCCCTCCCTTCAAGCTGCTGCCACTGCCTCTATCACCACCTGAGAAAGATCCTGGCACTGCCTTCACTGCCAACTGCCAGTGAACTGTAGCAAGACTAAAGCCTGAGGTTTGCATTCCCACAACTCACTGACATGGCAGTGCTTTGGAGCACCCCTAGACACCGATAGGCAAAAGTCTTCAAAATGCAGACGGGATGGGCTGTTCCCTTTGGCCACATGTCAGAATATGTCATCATGAATTTGGGAGACCATTGGAACAAATGTGTCCATCTCCTTGACACCCCGATTCCTTCCTAAAATTCACCTGTACACCCCAGAGAGCTATGCAAAGGCTGTAAATCAAACTGTGGACAGTTCTTTGGTTCCGCAGTGCACTCAGCAATCAGGGCTACCTACAAGAGAGTCATGTGTGACTCTCAACACTGTGTAAATCACCTCAGATATGTTGTCTCACCCTTTACAGAGACTTCCCAATGTCCACTAGGCAGCTGGAACCATGGAGGCCCATTAGGTAGCCAGCCTCAAGGTCACACAGCAAGGCCAGGGATCTGAACCCAGTGACACCTGCACTCCCTTTCCCAAGAGGAAGCAGAGTAGAAAAGCCTGTCTCTCCTGTGGATTTGAAATGATTCACTGCAGACCCTAACATCTGTTTTGAGTTTGGGCTCCTCCTTATCCCCTGAAGACTGCGGCATGAGGCCCACCCACTGGCCATCAGGCATCACCTCTTACCTGGTCTTCGGGACTTCCCCAGCTGATGAAAAGGATGTGGCTCGACTCCGACCAGGAGGCAGCTCTCTGGAGAAAAAGGGATCCTGAAAGAGTGGCTCTCTGCCATCAGCCACCTTGCAGCCTCCATCCTAGAGGCTGTCTGCTGAGCCCCAAAGCAGGTGAGGTGGGGTGAAGTGCATGCACCACAAGAACTTGGCTCACCATTCCCGTCTCACCTTCTCCTTCCCTGGCCTTTCTCCACATTCCACAGGCAAGTATGTACATGCCCACTCGGCGTCAAGGGCTTTCTCACCTTGTAACTTTGGTTGAGTCTTGCCCTCAACTGGATTGCTTTCCCGTGCTCTGCCCTCCCCAGCTTGCCTGTGGCCACATGTCCCCACTGAAGTCTGAATGGTGGAAGTCCCTCAGCATCCCCAGGCATCGACGGGCCTTTGTGGATTACAGCCCTACCCCACCTCATTGTTGCTGGCCTCCTAGCCTCCTGGACTTACAGGGTGTGGCCCTCTGATTCATCCTGCTTGGTGATCCAGCTCTTGTCCCCCTTCAGCGTGGTCCGAACCTTCATCTGCTTGAGGACATTATTGCGTTCCTCTTCACCTGGTAGTAGTGGTTTCCCTGGAGGGGCAAGGCCAGGCAGCCTCAGAAGGGGAACCCAGCCCCAGGACACTGATGCCTCCCTGCCAGTCCTCCCAATATGCTGCTCTCTGCTGCCGTGCTTGTGGCCCTTGCAGGGCAGGCCACACACCAAGCCTGGGAGAAGAGGGAGTGCAGTCCTCACCTTTGGTGCTGCCTCCAAGAGCTGAGATACTCATGGCGCTTGCTCTGCAGATCCCTTCTCAGTTGATTCAACAGGGCTCCTGAGGACAAAGGCAAGCACATGGCTTGTCACTTCATGCATTTATAATGGCTTGCAGGTCATCATGTGGTCCCTGACTGCCCTTTGGGTATAAGGAGGCAAGAGTTGTTGGAGTTTGGGTGGTGGGCAGAGGCCAGAGAGTGAGCACACACTGGACCTGTCATTGTCTGATAGTAAAACCACCTGTCTGCCCAGAGCTGCTCACATGGGGAATGGGCTGCTATGGAGCTGTCTATTCAACAGATAGCTTATAAGGGCAAACCACAACCCCCCTAGAGAGTTCTGATGGCCAGATTCCAGGCCCAGATGAGTGTAGGGGAGAGAGGGGAAGCAGTGGAACCTCCACAGGGTAGGCTTCCTGCGGTCTGGCACTAGTGGGCTCAGAAAGAAGGACTAAAGGAAGGGTGGGGGCTGGGAGACCAGTTCCTTTGGGGTTGGATTATCTTTCTCACTCTTTAGTAGCTGTCTGACAGACCTTTGGCAGGTCAGCTAATGTGTCCAGTCTGCCTCACTGTCCTCATTTGTAACATGGGATTTTAAAAACTCTACCCTTCAGGACTGCCATGAAGGCAGAATGCACCAATGTTCTTGAAAATGCCTGGCACCATCTGGGCACAGCAAAGATCACGGGGAAGTTGGACAAGAGCCAAGGAGCAATTGAGTTTCAACCTGTCTTCACTGGGACAGGGGACTGTCAGCTGTCCTCAATCAAAACCACCAAGCCTGAGAGTGTGCAGCCCTGTGTTGCTCACGGGTTTGCTTCATCTCCAGTGGGGAAAGCCCAGGGCCCCCCTGCCAACTTCTAGTAGTGCTCAGGGACCAGGTGAGGGTTGGGATCTGGTAAGGAATTGCTGTTGTGCTCTGCTTTCTCTTCCTCTCTCTATTCTTGCCCTGCTCTCCTTCCTTGTCTTTTCTCCGCCCTTTTAGCCATGTGTTTCCCTCCTGTAGCCAGTGAAAGGTGGACCACAGTGACCTCCAGAGCCTCACAGCACTGTGAAGATGTTTGTCTCAGAAGAGGCTGGGGTGAGGAAGCCAACTGTCCAGGCTGGGAACGGCCCAATGCTAAAGGCAGATGGAAGGCCCATATCGTGGGTCTAATCCCAGCTCTGGCCTGCCACAACTAGCCCTGTGGGCCTCAATAGAAGGACTAGAGGTTCCGGCAAGTGGACATGATGGGAATGAGGGGCCCTGGCCCTGCTGGCATAGTCCTGAGGCAGAGCAGCCTCTCCCTTAGGAGCCTGTTACCCGCTGCCCAATCAGCCTCGCCAGCTGGCAAGGCCTGGACATGTTTCTTTAGAGGTCAAGGGCACACTAAAATGGCTAAGGCAGGGGCCAAGATCAAACCAAATTTGCCATGTTAGCAAGAGCTGGCTTTCCCATAAATTGCACTGAATGAGCAGCCCAGGAGGCCCAAGCCTGATGCGTGCCAGGAATGGCACTTCATCACAGCAAATGGCAGCCCTGCTGTTCAGCCCCTCCACCAAGGCTGCCACATCAGAGTTATATTGAGCAGAACTCATTCCATAAGCAATCTTTAGACCACATACATCCAACTGTCCCATCCCAGCAGCCCATGGAGTAGCCCCACTGGGCAGGACACACAGACACACTTGCTACCTAGGATCTTGGCCCCTCAGTCTCCTGGTGCTGCTGACTGACTGTGAGACCTTGGGCCAGTACCTCACCTCTGGGCCTCAGCTCAGGGCCTCCTACTGCTGAGTGTTTAAGTTCCTTCAGGAATTCATCAGTTTCCTCTTGACAAACCTGTTGACCACATTGCCTAGAAGTTTCCTGCCAAATCAGAACCAAATAAGCCACCTCCAAAATCAGGATAGACTCACACACATGCAGAATGACAGAGGCAGAGGGACCACTGGGAACTCCCTGGCCAAAGGGGCAAGGATACATGTAAGAGCCCACAGCAAGGGAGGGTGGAGTTGCCTTAGGTCCCATCCACACAACTAAGACCCCAGTCAGAAGACTCAAGGCTTATGCCCCACCTCACCAGGCAAAGAGCAGGGCTGATGCTACATCTCAGAAGTCAAATGTCCCCTTTTGATGGGACAGTAAATCTGAAAAAGTCAAGAAGTAGAATCTTCCCATGGGCTTGAAGAAGGCAGCTCTTTGGAACAAGGAGCCTTTAAAGTGATGCGCCCTAGCCAGACAGATGGACACATGAGGTATGAATCAATGTCCCAGCTGCAGAGTTGGCTTTTCCCTCCACTTCACTGGTCCCTCCTCTCCCTGCACCTGCTTCATCTGTGCCTCATTCCCGCAGCTTGGCCCACATCAGCCCTCACTTTTCACTCAGCTTCTGCTGGCTGTCCATTGTCTCTAAGCCTGGGGGCAAACTCTCCAGTGTCCAGACCCAGTTACTTTTCTCACAAATGACCTTCAATGTTGACACTGTGCTCCAAGAAGACCATGTACTTCAACATCCATAGAAGGTGGCCCTACCACAGTAATTCTCATGCCTTTGCTTATGCTGGTTCCTCCCACCTGGGATGCCATTCAACTCCTCCTGCTGAGCTAAGCCTTGCCTCTACCTCAGGGGCCCACCTGTCTTGCCTGCTCCTGCTCCTGGGGACTCTCCCCTCATCTGACCTGCATGCCTTGGTACTGTTGATCAAAGTCTTCCCAGACAAGACCTGCTCCCTCTACCAGCCTCAGCAAGAACAAAACCGAAGCATCCCCTCACACACCCAACACATACCCTGCACTGATTTTCTGCACTGAAGGCTGGCAGGAGCCATGCTTTTGACTAACCATACATTGCCACCTCTCCTTGGACCCAAGTCTCTTCTCAGACCCACCATCCCCTTCTTCCCCAATCAATGGACAGCTGGGAAAACCCTCACTAGAGACAGGAGCAGCTCTGAAGAATGGGATGCAGACCACTCAGGAGTATGTTTCCCAGGCAGCACTCACATACTGTTGGTGGGCAGATCAATGGACTCATCTTTTCAGAAGACAAATCTCTATATGTTTTGAAAGCCTTGAGAGGGTAAGACCATTGGTCCAGAAGCTCCCCTCACAGCAATCTCTCCTATGGAGACAAATGAGTAAGCAGAACAAAGTATACAAGAGGGGTGGTGTCCCAGTGTTGAGTATAATGGTGAAAATTAGGCAATAATGTAAATTCCCAACAGTGATATTTAAACATACTATGATACATGATTCCAGCAAATACTATGCACTTATTACAAATGATATGGATATACGATGTAACTTAACAAGTTTCATGTGTATGGTTTCCATATATCATTAAGTGAAAGAAAGCTTTTAAACAAAAAGATGTGTAGGATGGTGCTATTTACTTAAAAGACTAAACAAGCAGTAATTTAACCAAATGAAATGGGAGCTGGGGCTGCTTGGATAGGTAATGATGGATCTCCAAAGTTGACACAAGGTGAAAAGTGCCAAGGAAGGACTGGGAAGTGAGGAGAGCCAATGGATGCATGGGGAATTCTCTCCTTCCTTCTGGGGTAGACATCCTGGGGAAGGTGCCCTGTGCCTCTAGGGTCCCTCTGGGCTGCTCTGAGCAGAGCCTTGCTGCCCGTGGGCACACACACAGCCTCCTCCAGGATCCTGGGTCTTCTCTGCACACAGCTTGGGTGGAAGGGAGAACAGGTATGCATTTTGGGGGGTATCTCCCACCTTACTTCTAGTCTTACTCTTCCTTGGGGCACTTGGGTTTCTTGCACAGCCTTCTAGGCCTCCCTGGCACATCAGGAAAGGCCACCTGGATTGACAGCTGACATCTTTGCTCCTCATCTCTAAGTGGCTTCACATGGCTGTGACACTGTCCCACTGCCTGGACCTCAATCTCATCTGTAAAGTGGCGCCAAGCCACCAAGCCCATGGACTTGCTCGCTGGGTCTCCTCCTGACAGGATATTCCCAAGCCACAGCATGTGTCACTGACTAGAATTTGGTACCAGTTCTTTTCCATCCCATAGTTTAGGTGTCATGATGTTGGTGGGTGTCTTCATCTTCCAAATGGCCCGTGTGAGTGCATTTCTAGTTTGGATAGGCTCTCTGTGTACACTTTCAGTAGTACAGCTCCTGTTTCTACCTTGATAGGAAATCTTTTGGTACCTTAGGAATGGTCATATTACCCTGCTTAAGGGGCCTGGCCTAGACCACCAAAGGAACAGGTGGCTTATCAGCCACTTTCCACCCTAGCTATCCTTCATAGGGTAACTCCTTGTGCCAAGTCCAAACAAGGGTATATACCCAGACTACACCAGCCTGTCCCATGGCAGCTCAGGACCAAGTCTAAGTCCTCCTGAGCAGGCCAGGCCACCTCAGACACTAAATGGGTGCCCAGCCCACCCTCCTTGCCCTTCATACCCTTATTCCTCCTTCTTCCATTAGCCTGCAGATGCCTCTTGGGGTAGGCAGGGGGGAGCATCCTTAGCAAGGATGACTGGGGGGAGATGGGGACAGGCACTCCTGATGCAGATGGTCTCTGAATGCACCTTCTTCCCAACTGCTGAAGCCTCTCAAGGCTTTCCAGCAACCTCCCAGGGAAGGGGCCTCTGGCCCTGATTGGATAGAGAGAAGGAAAGAGCCAATGAGGGAGTGCAAGGAGCCTGTTTTCCCCAGGCCACAGCAAGCCTGGTGTGGTCAGGGAGTGGAGTTGGAGCTGATGCAGGCAGATTAGCAGGAGGGAGGGAGCCAGGGAGTTGGAAGACAGTGACGCAAATGCTTGGCTGATGCATGAGGAGACAGAGATGGAGAGAGAAGCAGCAGGAGAAGAGCCTCTGCCCCACAAGGACGTGCTCTGCCTCCAAGATGAGAAGACTAATTCAGAGAAAATTTTCTAGAATTGCCACCCAGGTTGACTCTCCATGTTGTTCACACCCTTTTTCTCAAGCAGGCTTCTGTTTCTTTGCCCTTGCAGCTACCTCTTTGCCAAATGGCCTAGAGCCTCAGCCCAGGAAGCATGTCCCAG